GCATCGTGAACGACCGCGCGACGCAAGTCAAAGCCTCGTCTAAGGGGATTGGCCTGTCGCGGAGAGAGCAACTTCTGCTTCTGCGACGTTTTCAAGCCAGCGACTCGGCTGCTCTGCTGCTTGTGAGTATTGTGCGTGGACATCCAGTATATCTGCCAGCAGGCATGTCTCGCTAGCTCGACAAGGCGTCATGCAGCACTGCGAGCGGCTAGCTGGGACCAGAGGGTTCTTTTTGAATTCTAATGGGGTCCGCAACGGTGTCCTTGATGCACTTCGGCAGATGGAACTAATTAAGTGCCCGCCCGCCGGATTCCGCATGTACCATCCATCGCATCACAGCATGGAGTTTGGGCCGCAGTGCCACCACTAGTTCTCTGATTAGTTGAGAACTGGCGGCAGCCACAATTGTCGACTCTTCTTTTGGGATAACCTACAATGACGGTCATTTTACACCCTCGACACGTATACCTGTAGGAAGGCGCGCGATTACATCTTCCTCGTTGTGGTGCAAAATTGGTGCGTGCACTTCGCATGTTTCCTGACCGCCGTCATGTTACGCTAGAGCGAACGACTTGCAGACCCGACCAGGTGTCAAACTCTAACAGCATAACAGTTGCTTTCGTTTTTTGGTCGTCGTAGTTTTGTCTGCACCAGTTGCCGCACTCAAGACTTGTCTCGCTTACATAGCAACGACCGCCGTGCCATGTGGTTAAGCTTGGATGACCGGGACTGTTCAACTTCTGCTGCCAAGTACCAGGCAGGCGGCGGCATCCTCCCATGCTGTCACGCTAAGCTCACTAGCGGCTCGCAGGGATTATGGCCCTATACATGTGGGTCAGACAGCCACACTGGATTCTCGTCCTCAACGGGATAGTTGGCCAGGTGCAACAGACGCAGAGAGCACGCCTACATTGCTCCTACTAAACCAATCATAAGTGGCTGGCCTGTTTCACGAAGCTTCGGTAGCGACGCTTCTGGCGTCAAATAGCCGGAGCAGGGCAAGAATGTTGCGGATCTTCCTGCAAGATCCACTCGGCCTGACTTGAAAGGCATCGCACCTACGTAAGGATGTCTGTTTCTCCAACATTTGAACTTTGTGGTTTCGTCTACGCCAATCAATGGCACCATATGATTCTTTCGTTGTGCAACTCATCAATTTGGACCATGTCAAGATGTGACGGCTGCTTGCATATTGTGGCTAGCGTGGTCTGACGCAGTGGAAGGTATGGGTGAAAGACGAGATTCGATGCTTCTTCTGCTTCTTGTAATTTGATCTGGATATATATGCTCTGTGCATCCTCAGATAAATCGTTTCCCAAACACGGACTCTTGCTCGTACTGTAAACCATTGGTCAATACTGTCTTACCATTGGCACTGCACTCGGGACGTCTTTATGCTTTCTGTCGAGCCATATTTGATTCCGCCTGAGCATAACTGTCGAATTACTATTTCCCTAGCACTCTTTTCGGATACGAACTATACAGCCATTGTAACATGTCGTCTGGATCTAATACACGCCGGCGGCGAACTACCACCTTGGTCGTTGTGAACTGCGCCTTCGCCGAAGACTGCCGATGCTCCAAGATGGGATACGTGAAGAGAGGCTTCATGGAGAATCACCTGGAACGGGGCCATCCTAGCGCGCTCGGCTTAACAGTATCGGCACCTTACTGTCCCGCTTGCGATGAACTCTTTGCTAGCAAAAGACTCCTGATCGACCATATTATGGATACTCATGTGCTCGCCCGCATGTCATCCTTTCCGACACGTGCCATCAGCCCTCGCGCTCTAGCAAGTGCTCCAAGCCAACCGGTACATGATGTGGCAATTAATCAAGGCGGGCGTAACGATACTGTCAACAACCAGAGAAGATCGAGCGACAATACGTTCGCATGGTGGACCACGGATTCTCCATCATCGCCAGTCCCATACTTGAATGTACCAACGAACTTCTCTTACCTACCACCAGTTGATCCGACGGCGGACATACATCCGAGAGCACAACGGTTCCTCCCTCCGACGCAGATGATCATCGAACCCCAAGTCATTATCCAGGGCAATGCGAATCAGTGTCGCGACGGTGACGGACCTAAGAGACCTGAGCATGGTTAGTGGGGATAGCTACACAGCCTTGATGGTACACCCGGACATCGATCTCATCGACCGCGGCATCTTGACACATCACGGTCCACTGGAGTACATGACTCTTGATGGTCAGGTCATATCGAACTGTACAAAGGACTTTGAATGGGGACCAGTCATACGCTCCTGGAACGAAATGCCTTTAAGCTTGTCTTTTACTTGGGATTTCACTTCTCACTCTCCCACACCTCTTATGCTTTACGCTGGCTTGTTCAGCCCCTTTTTTCCTTTGCTCTTTTGCTTGGACTGTACAAGCTGGATCCGTTACAAAGGGAGTCAGTATACCAATACACAAGACTTCACAACCACGTGTTGCTTCTTAGCAGTGATATAGCCAGCATCCATCGTATCCCTCACATCTACTGCGCCTTCTTGGCCTTCGCCTGTCCACCCCTGAAGCCCATGCCATATACGTACACCAGGCTGCCACCTAGGTACGCCGCGAACATAGTAGCTGGTAGCGCAATGACACTGCTGATCAAGATATTGGTATCACTCGGCACCATACCGGGATTGCTCCTGCGCGTCCACCAGTTGAAGGCCGCACCAATCACCGTTACATCGTTTATGACAGCGTGTAGCGCACCGACCTGTGCCTTCTTCGACTTCAAGCCGTCGCGTTTGACAAGGGGGATGAACTCGTACATGCCGGTCGCGACGGCGGGCGCGGAGAAGAGGAGGGTGAGGAGCGTGGTGTAGTAAGATAGGAGGGGGAAGATGGTCGGGTTTATGGCGATGTCTAGGGTTTTGACTAGGTGTTGTTAGCTAAATGACACCATAGGATGCATTAGGGGTCAGATTGAGGGTAAGGACGTACAGGCTGAGGCCACAGCGCCAGACGTCGGTGCATACTTCGAGAGGAAGTATACCGCATCCAGACCACCCGTGAGTAGGGTGGTTGTGATGGGGAAGTGCACTGTCGCGGGATGTGTTGGGTGGCTCATCGTGAAGTTTGGTGGTGATGAATTGCAATTGCGGTTGATGTGACTGGGCAATGAGGAGATGGTAGATGTATTATTTCGCGCAGCAGGCCCTCTATTTGGTTGTGCCGCGGCGGAGAGCCGAACGCCTCTTGCCCTGCGCAATGGCCGCAAACATCTTCGGCTTATGCTGTGTCGTCATTGACTCCGGACCTCATTGAGGTGTGCCGCGAAGCGTGGGCAACACGCGACTAGTTCGTGTGGGGCGGGCGGATCTCGGGAAGCCCGTCGTCAGCGCTTTGGTGATGCTGTGATTGGCTGGCGATCAAGGGTTCAGATTTGAGGTACGTTCGGACGTCCGACTCGCAGAACGTTGTTAGATCCCAATGCTAAGCACTAGGCCTTCGTTTGTCGCTGGCCGACATGTTTCTTTGATATTGCACGTTTGCGCATCGCAGTCGCGTGTCGGTAGTCCGCACCAACCTCGGGTCCCAACAGCTCCTAGGCGACATCTTTATTCTTGCACCAAGCGCGTGTGTCCACCCAATCTTTCTTCCATGCTGACTATCGAACATATCTTACTTGCTGCTTTAACATGAGCGCTGACTCCACGCCGACTTCTCGATCACTTTTCAACGGGGGAGACTTCTTCAAAGCAAGCATGCGCTACTCGCAGCGTCTGGATTATAGGCCAAAACCGTTATCAACCAATGCAACCTCACCGGTCAGCATGTTGCGGCCATATTCAAGTCTCTCTAAGTACGCTACGACAATCATATCTGGGGCAGGAATCGTCGGTTGTCATCAAGTCGCAGTTTATCATCTGATACCCTGGAGATGTTGGCCATCTCTGGTTTCATTGTGTTTTGGGTGATCAGGCCGATGCATGCAGCAGGCTGGAAGGGAGACCTAGACGGCAGATCACCTCATACCTGTCACAACATCTTAGGCTGCTTTCTCCGTCGCCGCAGAGCGGGCGCGACGTTCGATCCTCGAAGCCACTGTTCCTCGTTTCGCCTAGGACGACTGCTTTTCGATCGGCATGGCCCACCGCCCTTCACTCCGGAGCTGCGAAATCCATCTTCCGAACTGGTCAAACACGGCAAACTAGGACTTTGTACAATCGTTTTACCAAGGCTGTGGAAGTAAACCTCATCTGGCTGTCCTCATACTCCGGAGCACCTTGGTAGCTAAGCTGCGGGAGCGACTTGGACTACTGGATTCACTAATATCATAGGTGGATCCTGCCCGAAAGGCCTTCTTGTTGGGATACTGCGGAAGGCGTCCCATACGCCTTTCGTACGCATTCCATGCAATTTCGAATCTGAAAAACGGCCGCATATCCCGAGGTGGAATTGAAACAGATATCGAGGACAATCCTTTGAGTACTTACCAATCCATGTTGTTGCTATTACTTCTACGAGTAGACTGTTCTCTAGTTCCACAAGCTAAGTAACGCACAGACAGGCCCTTGGCTGATCAATCATCGCGGAACAACCCCGTTATTAGACCGAGAAACAGCCATCGCGACTTCGGGGCGATTCGCACAACACGAGGTTGCAAACGTGTCATATGCATCACCAAGTATGCTTCTGTTGTGAGAGCTACATTCGCAATGAAGCGTGGCCACCAAACAATGACTTCTGCATCTAAGAACAGAACTCAGCGGCCGTTACACTAGCAACTTTCTTGAACTGACTTTGTTTTACTCTTTGAGCTTGGTACGAACATACTAAGTCATGCGGAGACTAATTTGTGCCTAAGCTAAGCACTCCGAGGCATGTGTCGCTCATCAAGTGGTATCCACAGCGCACCGTCTCGTACATGCTTAGCAAAGGTACTCTCCACTCCGACTTTTACGTACGTATGAAGCTTCGGAATGATGTTTCAAATCACAGGTCTACTACTTAACAGATGTCTAAAGCTGCCTGCTGTTCATGTCTTTCCAGGCTTTGGATATCATCACACAACGCTCTCGAGGCAAACTCCAATTGGCTGCGCCTATCACGAAGAACTTTCAAATGGACATTTTCGCAAAGAAGACTTGCAAGACCGCCCGGGGTTACACCTACACCTACTACACGTTTGAAGGCGACAGATCTCTTCCCACCCTGTTGTTTCAGCATGGCTGGCCCGATCACGCCGAGATGTGGAAGGGTATCGCGGAACGTCTCATTAGTACCAAGCTTTCTATCATTATACCAGACATGCTTGGCTACGATGGTACTGATAAGCCGACTAATCCAGCCGAGTACAAGTGGGACGCAATGACAAAGGATCTCATCGACATCATCGACACCGAAAAGGTCGACAAAGTGATCTCCATCGGCCATGACTGGGGATCTGCATGTGCCGCCCGTCTCTACAACTACTACCCCGATCGTGTCGCTGGCTGTGCCTTTCTCAACGTTCCCTACCACGCGCCGAGTCGTCAGCCTTTTGATCTTGATGCGATGATTGAGATGACCGAGCAAGCTTTTGGCTATGGAGTCTTCCATTACTGGTAAGCATGTCTGCGGCACTACATGAAGAATGATGAATTCTGATCATCTTAGGAAACTGTTTGCTGATCCAAATGGTGGCAAAGTTCTCACAGACAACGTTGAGCGTCTCTATTCTTGCCTTCACGGCACAGGCGACACAATGAAGCGCTTCTTCTGCGCGCCAGATGCTATGCGACAGCATCTTACTAGCAACAATCCAGATCCAGAACTCCGGCCTTACGCTCAGAATCCGAAGTTTCGCCAGGACTTCATCGATAGGATGCGCCGTGACGGCTTCGACGCACCGCAGTGCTGGTATCGCGCTTTCATAGAACAGCAGCACCTGTGTGATAAAGAACTTCCTGAAAGCAGAGACAAGGTGGATGTTCCAGTTCTGTACATTGGAGGAAAAGAAGACGCCACGTGCCGTTCTGAGGCAATGTATCCGGCGATTCAGGCTGGGTTGTTGCCGCATCTAGATCAGAGGCCTCTGTTGGACGCGTCGCACTGGACCCCATACGAGAAGCCGGAAGAGATTGCGGAGCTTTTCAAAGAATGGCTAAGCAAGAATTACACAGTATGAATACATGCTTATCAGCATTAGTTACCGGCAATAACTAAGCCAACTTATTTATCGCAGCATTTTCTGACTTTGACGCTCCTAAGTTTGCAAGTTCAGGCTACCAGTTGGCTGTACGTACTGCCTTCATCCCCTTAGCGACTTTATGAAGGCTGTCATGAGGCTTCGGCTCTCGGAAGTAGCTATTCCAGAAGAAGTTACGTACATCTCGTTTGCCTTATGATTGTACAAAAATATGTGGGCATATGGTTGTACAAAAGGTGTGGGGACGACCTGGCCGAAAACACGCTACGCTAGCACCCGAGCTGTACAACGTAGGAAGTAATCAAGACAAGTGATATAAGCAAAAGGTCGACAGTATCCTGCAATGCTTGTTGCTTCATATGACCAAGGTGCTGTCTTCGTATTGGAGATCAAGAAGCTCTTAGGGCAATATAATTGGCTGACCGTTGTTGAAATCTGAACAGCGGACACTTCGTACAACGATCCGCCGCACGTGGAACTCATAACATACCTTACAGAAGCGATCTGCACGACAATCATTTGAGCGACTGGAAAAACTCCGCCACGGACGAAAATGTGAACTGCAATGGCGGATACGGCAATGACAGCATCCGGCAGCGTTTGCTCGCGTCAGTGTTAGGATCTATTCAACATGTTCGATATACTTCAAATAAGGAAGACCTCCCTAGATACATTAAAAAGCATAATTTGTTTCACAGGCAAGAGTCCATCCTCGCAGCCCTGCTTCAGCGTCTGTAATGAGTACAGCATCGACCCCGAAGATGGAACGTGATCGAGAGACAGGCATTTCCATACTGGTAATTGGCGCAGGTATCGCAGGCCTGAGTTTTGCCATTGAGTCCTACCGCAAGGGCCATAATGTCCGCATTGTCGAGCGTCGTTTGTCCCAAGAGAGCGCAGGTGAGCGACGGGTGCAACTCTTGAATTCCACCGGCTAAGATGATGTAGGAGAGATGATCATTATCACAACTTCTGCCCTGCACACGCCAAAGAAGTGGCCAGGATTCATGGAGCGCGCCAGAAAGAGAGCGATTCCTCCAACACTCACGATGAAAAGATTCAACGGCGATGTCGTAGGAAGCTTCAACCTCGGTGACGAAAAGAACCCATCCATGGCCATCTACCGATCAGAGCTACACAAAGTGCTCCATGAATATGCTTCACTGCTCGGAATCCCGATCGAATTTTCGACAAGCGTTGTGGATTATTTCGAGACTGAAGACCATGGCGGAGTAGAACTAGCGGACGGCCGCAAGCTAACCGCAGATATCGTGGTGGCTGCGGATGGAGTTGGCTCGAAATCATGGCACCTTGTCGGCGAGAAAACTGCCCCAACAAGCTCGGGATTCGTCTTGTACAGGGTCACTTTTCCTGCGGCACCTGCACTTGAAAATCCAATCATTAGAACGGAGTTCGAGGGTGTTGGAGACCGTGGAATCCTTCATGCTGGTCCGGGAGCACACATGGTTACCTGCCTGTCAGGCGATAAGATGTGTTGGATGCTGACTTGCAAGGTGAGCTTTTTCTACTTTTCTTTGCCATGCCGCGCAGATGCTGATACCGGGGGTAGGATGATGGCGACAAAGGCGGAGAAAGCTGGTCTCAGTCGACTTCGATCGACAAAGCCCTCGAAGCGACCCGTGGCTGGGAGCCATTTATTACCGAAGTCATCAAAGCTACGCCTGGTCATACTGTTCTCGACTGGAAATTGATGTGGCGTGACCCTCAGCCGCGGTGGGTATCGCCTATCGGCCGGGTGGTTCAGATAGGGGACTCCGCACACCCATTCCTTCCGACCTCAGCTAGCGGTGGGACTATGGCAATGGAGGATGCGTTCTCTCTAGCTGCATGCCTACAGCTTGCGGGAAAGAACGATGCATGTCTCGCAACCAAGTTGCACAACCATTTAAGGTAAGTCTGCGTTTGCTCCACCCTTTGTCATTACACGTGTATGAGAAGTATCAGGATAGAGCTGACATACCTTGATAGATTCGAGCGGGTTTCATCGGCCCAGAAGATGGGTTTCAAGAACCGCGAGGTGTTCCACAACACGAACTGGGATGTCGTCGCAAAGAACCCAGAGGCCATGGGCAAGATGGTTGGGGACTGGGTCATATACCACGACCCAGAGCAGTATGCCTATGACTCATACAAGAGCTGCGCAGACCATATAATACAGGGCACACCTTTCGAGCACAGGAATACTGTACCGGGATATACATACAAGCCCTGGACTGTCAAACAGCTTCTTGAGGCCTCTAGTGCAGGTCAGCCTATCGTCGATGAAGGGGTTTGGGAGTAAACAGAGTTGTGAAACATCCAGCCGCAAGCGATGGAGACAATCGTTGACGTCAACATTGTTGATATTGACTCCGTGCGATAAACTTTACGTAACTTTACTAAGGTATGAAATTCATGTCTCAACTGGTCTAAGGACTAGATGATCTCGAACTTTTGGAGCTGCACTTGGAAGGCCTCATACGCGACGGGTAAGAGGGCCGCAATGCCAACGCGTTTGTATTTGCCCTCGTCAATTCGCTCAAGAAGAAGCGCCCAGTAGACGAAACTCGGAAAATATTCTGAATGGTAGACTACGTCATCCTAGTAGATATCAGTCTTAGCGCGCTGTAGATGAACGGAGGATCCTTACGATGAATTCACGTCTAACAATTGGTTTCGAGCGATACCCCATTACTTGCTTTCCAAGAAGACATGCATGACTATATGACGTTACTGCGTCGTTGTCAAAGTGTGCATTGCCAAGAAGCAACCGATCGTAGCTATCATTTATGTCTTGCGTAAGGACATGGGAGTGCATCGTATGATTCCTCCTCCATGAGTGAAAGAGCTTTTGTACTCTCGATATTTGAAGATCATGTGCTGTGTACTGGTCTCGCACATATGTTGGAGCTTGCTTGACGGTACTCAAGAGTCCCGAGATCTCAAGGTGTCCGTGGGAGGTAATCGTTATTTCCTGGAGTTCTGTTCTGATGGAAAACCCTAATTCATCCAACATGACCTCTAACGGCCATGATTTAGCACCTCCAGTCGCGGTCCAGCTCCATGACGGCTTGTTAGGTGATTTACCTTCGTCCGAGTACGGTCCATCTTGAAACCAAAGCAGCTGTTCCATAAGGCTATCCTGCCAAACACCGTAATCTGGAATGTATTGATCCTCCCGAGACCATCGGGTAAGGTCTCCAGCAATTCCGAGGAGAGCTTCAGTACGATCCGAAGGAAACGTCAGCGATCTTCCCGTATATTCAATCAACAGCCGAAACCAATAGTCTGTCCAGCCAAAACCAATCATTTGTCCGGCCAAATGCGGAATAGATTTTCCGACCTCGTCTACGGATATTGTCTTGCAACTCCATGTAATACCACCTGGCATAAATGTAATAAGGCGTTGCGCGAGATAGCGCTCTTGAAGTGTCCATGCCCGTGTTTCCAAAGGACCACGTGCTGGGTGCCAATTTGATTCATCGGGCGATTGCATCATGTTGAAGGTTCCGCTCACTCCAGCAGCTGATCTGTAAGGTAACTTAAAGACGGTTCTGGCTGATCGGTCGTTGATGAAGAGTCCTCGACTAGAGTCTTCTGCGCCAGAGGCGGCTATCACTAAAGCTGCGTTTCGGTAGACGTCTCCCATCTTTGCAGCTTCTGAATGCCAATCTTGGCTATTGCCCTGTATGATGCAAAGAGAGTCGATCCAGATGTATTTGATGCCGATGGATTGTGCAAGGCTCACAAGATCCTGAAACGTTCTGGGCAAATTTTCGAACGCGATGCCTTTTTGATGGCTCTCGAAATTTGTAGACGTTGTGCGAAGCGGCTGCTTCTCGACTGAGCCCCAGCAGTGGCTGTTAAAATATTAGTAACGATGGTAACTGAACACATGCCTTGTTATAGAGCTGTCATAGCTACGAGTCCGCAGGTGAGAGGGGGTCTGATGTCCTTGCTGCTTCTTTTCCACCTGCGGTACTACAGAAACGTGACAAGAGCGACAGAACATACTGTCCTTAAATCAATAATAGTTCTTAATTCGGATGGACTATGTAGACTTACCCTTAGGGCCAAGTACCGTCCCTTCATGCCGTTACTTTTCACAAGCATGATCGATGGTCTAGCATGATTTCCAGAGATCGCAAGAACACGGGTTGGCATTGGCATCTTAGCCTCAATCGGGCAATACTTATGATCACGGCATCTTTTCCGCCGCCAATGCTGGATCAGGTCGCGTATCTGGTGCATAGGAAGGCCAGATATTGGTGGGCAACCAACCACAGTTTTACACGCAGAGCTTCCTGAATTCCATCGTCAGTGAAGCCAGACGTAGCAAGATCTCAGTCTCTGACCTATGTCCGCCCATATTCTGAAACTTGTGCCTCTGATTTCGGTACCACACACCCGCGCTCGTCGCTCCGTGCTCCGATGTCGCGATTCAAACCCGCTGCGAATGAGAGATGTCCTCAAATCAACTGTTGTTGTTGATTCGATTGATGAAATTACCTCACACAGTTGGCATGACTCCAGCCCGCGACCTGGGACGAATTCGTCAATTCTGTTGGGCTGGTCTCCAGTTGTCTCAAGGTCTTCTGGATCTCGCACAATGAGTTTGGTAAACTCAATGCAGAAGTCGCATAATTCTGTGATATCCTTGATGATTGGTCCTACCGTAATACAGCATTCTTCGGTGTTCATGGTGAAAATAGTGCCGCCCTCACACTAATCTGTAGATTGAATTACCTAAGAGCGTGTTTAGGCTCGATTTGAGTCAGCGTTGACGAGCCGTTGCTATCTGCATGAGAAATCCGGGCTGACGGGTAGTAATAAAAGGGGGGAAGAATAGGCAGCAGTAGGATGTTGATATCGACACGTACATTTAAGCGAACCTGGCAGCCGTGTGTCAGCTGACGAATATCGTATTGATGGCAGGCTGCACCAATGTCATCATCGTGCAGGCCGAATCAGCGCTCAATGATCATCATACCTGATCATAAGCCTCAGATGAACAAAAAGACCTAGTGAGAAGGCTTTGCGCACGATCCAAAATCCGTATACAATGACAATGCATTCGCGTAGGCTCTGAATTATGTTGTTGAGATGCCGAGATGTTTGAGCGGACACCAACTTCTTGCCCCGCACGTTCACGGAGATCGTAGGGTAGCCTGTAAGAATGCTAAGCGAACCGCAGTAGTTCGCCAGCTGCCATCTAGACTTCACATCATCCCGTGCTAGCCAGAGAAACTTCAAAGATGTAGGTAAACGCAGGATTACAATAGTGATTTGCATTGGATGCTTCCTCAATGCTGTCTAATCGCATACTTCTCACCATGATCCGTCCCTCTTTAACAGTATATCACCACCAGTCACCCCACTCCTACCCACCATACTCTCCTTCAGAATGCCCGCCTCATATAACTCCCCGATCAACGAGAACAACATGCCATCACAACCCTTCGCCGCCATCAAATTCGCTGTAACAGGCAGGTACTCCACATGTCCCGTGATCGTCGAATTATATGGCGCCTCACCCAACGGCACAACATAATCCGGCACCTCAGCCATGACCGAGATACGACTATTGCTGAATCCGAAAGGCACACCAGGCTCATCCCAGTACGTGTTACGGTACGTGGTACCGCCAGTGGAACCAACATACATGACCAGAGATTTAGAGCATGTCTCGGGCGACGGCGCGAGGAAGGTTTCGTTGGCCCAGGTTTGGAAGATGGTTTTGTTGGCTACGGCGTCCTCGACTGTGTAGGTTTGGTTGTCTCCCCAGCCCCAGCGCGCTAGTGGAACGGGGTTGACGAAAGGAAGGCGGCCATCATGGACGGCAGCATAGTCGGCGTAGAAGGGCTCACGAACCAGCTCGGTTTGCTGTTTGGTGATCAACAGGGCATAAGTGAGGTTCATGAAGGTTGTGAGGGGTGCGATATCCGCGTTCGAAGCGTCGAAAGAGGCGGTCACGTTAAACGCTGTCGCATTAGCGCTGAGAAACTCGGTCACGTTGCCCAGGAAGTCGATCAGAAGCTCATCTGCGACATCGTCGACTGCGGTGGGCCAGCCGAGAGTTTGAATGCTCGTTGGGTAGTTGCTGGTGATAGTGATGTTGGGGCCGTACATGGCCTGTGCTGCCTCCATCCAGACTTGCGGGTTGCGAGCTAGCAAGCCGGGCGTGTCGAGCACGGGGCTGAGAGGCATGGTATGATCCAGGGACACAAGTCCGTGGGAGGGTCGGTTACCATAAAGACCTTGAACCTGGGATGGTCCGCGTACACTGCCGCCGGTGTCAGATCCAAGGCTGACATCTAACCAGGGGTACGATGCTGTACCAGCGCCTCCGCCACTGCTGGAGGATGAGGTGTCTTGGTAGCCATCGCCACGAGGGTTGAATGCCTCGTGGTAGTCGACCCAGTCGGCTGTCGCAGTTTCACCGTTAGCGAATTGAGAAGTGATCATCTTGCCGACGATGATCGCTCCCGCGTCGATGAGATTCTGAACGGGTGGCGCCGTCGCGTTGGCTGGAGAATATAGCCAGTACCATGCTCGGTTTCCGTTCGAAGTTCGTAAGCCCTTGATGTCGTAGATATCTTTGATACCGATGCGAACACCAGCCAGCGGCTTCTCAGCCGTCTTTGTAAAGTACAGACGCGAAGGAACAGCAATGGCATGCTTCTGGCCTACAGTGCCTGCGGGCAAAACAGAGTATGAACCGTCACCAATAGCGATCGCAGGCTCCGTGAAAGCACCTTGAACGTCGGAGAAGAGTCTCCACGCCTCGTAGACATGGCCGGCTGCGTTGATGAAGTAGGGTCCTGGAGCCAATACCTTGGATGAGGTGCCGGATAATACGGTTAAAGACGAGTTCATGGGCTTGAATTCGCTTCCCTGGACGTATATCGCTGCAAAACTATGTTAGCTAAAGTTCTGAGTAAGCACAGTTCGCGCGTACCCTCCATGAAGCCCTCTTGCCATACGTCATCTTCAGCGTAGCTGGCTGTAAGTGCTGCAACGTCAACACCATAGCCTTGCGCCTTGACCACTGTGAAAGGCACAAACATGGCATCTTCGAACGAGGTTGAAAGCTCTTTGCAGCCAGAGATCTTGGCGATCGGCTTCGGTGGCAGGAAGTAATCGACATCCGTTAGCGATACCGTGAAGCCAGTGGACGACACAGCTGCCTGCACACTGGCTACGATGAGAGACGCGACGCCCAAAGACCGAGAGAGATACATCTTGCCCACAGAGAATCCTGACCGTGGCCTGTGGCGGAGCGCGAGATATGCCACGACATGG